AGAATGCTGTGGAAGACACTGTCAAAGGCTTAATTGAAGTCCATGTAGACAGCATCAACAGTCTTTCCCTCATCCACTAGGTGGGTCCCCTGGTCATAGGATATCAGGTTGGTCAAGCAGGACCTGCCTTTCATGAGCCCATGCTGGCTGGGTTGCGATAATGTTGCGATATACACTTAAACTTGCCTGACACTAATAATTTCATTAGAAGAAATGCAGCAATAGCTTCATCCTGCAAGCAGTCACCACCTTTATTAGGGACTTGCAGTACCAAGACTTGAAGAAGTAAAGATATATTGACTGGAAAGGTTTCAAAATATTTGATACTTGAGCTGTAGCTCTGTTACTTAGGCATATTAGAGTTACTCATATTTCCCATTCATTATCCAATGCTGTTTTATGCAAAGTATTAAAGGAAATTGGCAAGATTTATGAAAACAATTAAGTACAAATGCTTATAGATTTGCGATCTGCCATTGATTCCTATTTCAAACAAATAGCAGCAATAAAGCTCCTATATTCCACAATACCCCCCATTTAAAGCGTGCACAAGCTGTCAGTGGGCAGAGGGCCATAATAATAAGCCCCATGTAAACCTGCCTTCAGCTGCTTGTTTAATGGAAATCTCAAGGGCACTAACTTGTTATTGATGTTTTGACTTCCATGTTTAAATATAAAACAGTAAAGTCAAAATAAACCATTTCAACCTCAAAATGAAACAACTAGATAAATTTCCTGTTGGGAAAAAAAAATCCTGAGGAAATTGATGCATTCCATTGAAAAGGTTTTTGTTAAATCAACATTTTCTACTGGAAAAAACCTCTCTCATCAGCAAGAGTTTTAACCAACACTCGAGTACATACTTGAATCAGCCTAACACTGAGATTTCAACACAGCAACTGTGACAGAATCAGGCTGCTGGTGACCGTTTTCCTGGAGGCTCTGGCAGCTCTAACAGCTTCATGGAAGTGCCATCTGCTAGACCACAGTCAAAAGGTATTCTTCTGCAGACACAGCTATGTTTTGTTTGTATACAGCTACTTGAAAGTAACTTGACAAATATCCTACCTGTTCAGCTCTAACCAAGTCAATTCTTCCGAGGGAACTGTACTTAAACTTAAGAGAGTTGTTTAAAAATATAAAAAGGAAAGCCAGGGGACACATTGCTTCTGTTGCGGAGTTTTGTGGTGGTTGACTTAATTTTTTTTTTTTTTATCCCGAGGTGGGCAGAACCCTTAGATGTATTGAAATTTCACCAATGTGCAAAATTAAATCAAGCATTTGTTCCCAAAGCAACAATTAGGCTTTCTCAGTTCTGAAGAACTGACTGAAATTGCCAGTTCACTAAGATTCACTAAGTTGACCACTTCCGTTCAATTGGCAATAAGTCCACAATAATAAATGCTTTAACACGCACATAAAATTCCAGTCAAATTAGTAAATCGAACTATGTCCCACCTTGCACACTCTAGCTATTCTTGGAATCATCAGTTTTCCGACAAATTCATACTCCACAGACACCTCAGTGAAAAAGAAGTATATCTTGTCATCTTCTCCATCTGTGCTGTTTTGATCTGCTCTTATCACATCAGCAAAAACAAAACTGGGCTCTACAAAGAGAAGAATTTTATATTATATATGAGAATACTAACTTGATTCCCTCAAAGACCCTCTAGGAGTCCTCTTTTGCACAGATCTCACACTATATTTACCTGCTCTCCAGTCACTGACGACTACACTGTTTGCTGTTCATAGTATGAACAGCATTTCTAAAAAAATAGAGAAAAACACAAAACCACAAACCCTATGTGAAAGCACTAGGATATCTGAGAGATCTTTACGGTCTGGTATCTTGTTATGCCAACATTCTTCAGTCCACACTCAAGCCTGGTTTTCTAGTGGGCATGGGGAGGCAGCCTCCCTTGCCTGCCTCTCCTTTATTTCAGCTATTAGCTGAAACACTAAAAATGACAGCATCATTACAACATGTATTACAAATTCAGCATCCTGTAGTTTTTGGACATAACGCATCTTTTGGAATACGCCAACTTCGTTATTTTTATCTTTTTTGGCAGAAAGCCACAAAAATCTGAGCAGTCACAAAACTTTGTGAATTTTGAAATTCAGGAACTGAAATAATCTAGAACCATGATCAGCTCAATTTGAAAACCCTATTAGAGACCAAAACCATTCTCTTCCTTACTATATCATAACTATGCTTCATTACTGCAAGGATGAACACGTAGATATAAACTAAACTGTAGCCCTTTAACATCAAGTTAAAGCCTGTCTGTCTTGAAGTTGTTTTCATTATCAGTGCTGATAAAAATCCTGAAACTTCAAAACAAAATTTCTTGATGGCGCACACTCACACGTCAGTATAACAAAACCCATTCTCTGAGATATTAGATAATAGTCCCTTACCCCAGGTAAGACACTTAAAACTCTTTGTGTAAGTGTGTCAAAGAAGGAAAAACAATTTGGTCGGGCCAGTTCTCATGCCCACTTACCATTAAGCCAAGGTATAGCATACTCTGTTCTCAGAGGGCTCTGATGAGAGTGACGTGAAATGATAGGTTCACTTCCCAAGAAATTGTAAGAAGTCCCAGAATAAAGCTCCTCATCTTTAACACAAAACCAAATATTTTAGATTTTCTTATGCACTGGATACCAAAAAGGGTACAGAAGTATTTTGGGAGACTATGCAAACTTAAACTTCCCACAAGAAAAGATAAACAAGTATTTCCTCTAAATTGCCCCAGACATGTCTTCTGTGTTTACATTTCTGCTGACCATTCTCAAAGCTAACACTTCTACACTTGGGTTTACTATGGCTCTAACACAAGCAACTGGCAAAAGTCAGCATTGTATTTGTGGTACTTTAACACTTAATATGTAAACCTACAGTTTATGTACAAACATGCAAATTTACTTAAGAAATGCCACAGAAGTTTTGGAAGTAATTATTTCACTCTCTTTCTATGTCACTATTATTCAAACTCAGCTTTTAAGAATTTAGGCAACAATGCAGGGAGTGTGTTCTTTTCTTTCTCATTTCCCGTTTTGTGTTACTTTCAGCTTCTCTTTTATGACATCAGGGTACAGTCATGAACTTTAATGTCACCAAATCAAGATCCAGTGGCGTCTACCCATGCAGTAACATACTCACAATACATATCTCACTTCTCTATTCTGTCTCATAGATATGTCTTCAGGACACCTAACTGAAATTACAGTAATTGATACTACAGAGGCAGACAAAGTGCATTTAGACTACGTGGACTAAATATGTTAAACACCTGAAAATACAGTTTACAAATTAGTATTTTATAAGTTGCTTCCAAAGCTACCTACAGTTTTAAGTTCTCCTTTTAAGAAACATGCCAAGGTTGACTATGTATTTTAATGTTTATCCAGATACACAGTAAAGATGTAAAAACACCGACACAAACTACTTCTGATATAAAGAGACTGGAGAATGACAGTGGAAAAGAGAGAACGTATTTATACATAATAATGAGCTATGCAAAGTCTGAACTTACCAACCATAACAGATGTGTAGCTTTGAGCAGGATCAAATGGACACCTGCCCTTACCATCTTCATTTTTACCTCCAAGTTCAAATGAAATTAAATTCTGCAAAAAATTAAGTTGAAAACCACAAAACAACTATTAGCACTTTTTGTTTCAGCCACTTGACTCGTGCAAAAGTAACTGAAAAATCAACACTAAATAATGGACTATATCATCAACTTCCAGCATCAAAGGCATTTTTTTTAAAAGATTACAAGTCATATACATTTTCAGAAAATCTTACTGAGTCCAGCAGACAGAGAGGAAATGTGATCCTATGATTTGTGAGGGTGGGAGCAGAGAAGAACAGAAGACAAAAAGTTAAACCCAGACAGATCTCAAGAAAAAGCACCCAAAAAAAGCCAGACAGCAGGAAAGGCAGAGGAGTTAACTGATGCATGGAAAGAGCTGGTAATTACTGAATTAGCTTGCACAATCCCAGAGAGTTTTAGAAATCAAGAAGGCTTTCTGAAGCTGATTTAGCAATTTCTGAGATAATGTAAAATTTGTGAAATGGGGCATAATCCAACCAAATTTTAAAAAGCAACCAAGTACTGTGACTGCTATTTTATAAATACCTTAAAAACCAAGGGAATGAGGACCAGCAAGATGACAGAGAATAGTAGCCACAGTAATTGGGAAGTGATCAGTTACACTGTGTAATGAAGACATTGGAGGCTAAGGGCAATAACTTCTGGCAATGTTCCAGAGGTGATGGCAGGCAGACTTGCAGGCAAGGGACACAAAAAAGAACAAACAATTACAAGATTTCTCATTTCAGAATTGTTAAGAGCTGCAGTAAGGAGAACGATACAAAAGCAAGAAAAGGGAGTTTTGATTTTGTGCCAAGACTTCACTCTGAAGCAGTCAGCACTATGAAGCTGTGGCATAGCCAGCAGCAGAGAAAAGACAAGTAGAAACAGGAATCTGAGAAATTTCAGGGAGATTCACTAATGGATGGAAGTCACAAAGAATGTAATTTCAGTTTTAGATATTGTTTTTATGCTAACGCACAATACACAAAGAATTATGAAAGCTAAGAAAAAGTAAAACCACAGTTAAACAAGATGAATCAATAATTCAGTAAGTGTTCTGAAAAAGGGTCAGTATGGTTTATTTCCATACTCCATCATTTCTGTGGGACAGTGTAATAAATGCTCCAAAATGTTAGGATCTACACTGAAACTGTGTGTGTGTTTGGGAACAGAGATTAACTCATTGGTTAAATGAGCTGCTTCTAAGTTACAGTTATTATTGGGTCAAAATGTATGTACATTCTTACCAGGTAATCACATGTTGGCTGAAATGCATTAGTTCCACACACGTAGAGAAAAGTATCATTCAGCTGTTGCAAGACACGCACGTAATTACGACACTCAGTCTGTAATACAGGATGAGAAAAGGACCAGTCTGATAAAACACATTTTCCACATTCCAATATAAATAAACAATTAACATTGGGCTGTCAGCTCGCCTGTTGCCGCTACTTATGCCACACCACAGCAGTAAGGCCAGGTGATACAACCACCACTGGGACACCACCTCCCTACAATCTCCTCCAGGAGCTCTAGTCCTGCAGCATCTGGCTTCCTACAGCCAGCAGTGGGCAGCTGCCTCAGTATACCTATCAGGGTAGCATGACCAAGTACCATATGCTCAGCAGGATGCACCTCAAGTTGTTCCATGAAAGCACAGGCTTTAAAGACACCTCCAATCCATGGGAATGGCTAGTTAAACATGGAGTAAGTTTTAGACTTTGTCATCCCTTGTAAGCCTAGATGAAACAGCAAGTGATAGTCAAGGTTGTTTCTTATGAGAGAAACCTATAATACCATTAAACTAGCTACAAAGCTTTGTCACGTCTAATTGTCCTTTTTTTCCATCCATGATATTAATTGCTTTTTCATCCAAGGAAGTTTCTTAACTCCTTTGGCTCTGAAGCAGAACAAGGAGTTTGAGCAAAGCCTTCAATAAAGCGTACCGTAAAGTTTCAGAATAGAAACCAAGAAAAACAACTCTAAACCACCACTGCGAGAGAGGGAAAAAACCCCAGTATCAACAACACCCTTTAATTCTTGCTGGTACACAGCCACTGTAGTGTAACTCCATGAACTACTTAAGCAAGTAGTTATGTCCTTACTCTTCTTATGAGCCAAACCAGGGATTTCTCTGACCGTATGGTGGGTTCAGTATGGCAGAAAACTGGGCGTGAGGGATGAGCAAAACGAGTTTTCTGCCAGATGAGGTCCCTGAACAGCTGCATAAATGCTTTTTTTCTGGCACTAAACAAGCATAGTGGTGATGGGTTGGGGATAGGACTGGCCATTTTAGTGTAAGAAATAGCAGTAGTGGCTTAATACCTTGAAACTTGTGAAACTACTGCACTATGCAAAACATCAGGGCTACAACACAAATGTAGCTAGTAAAAGGTTCCAAGTGACAAAAAAGCACAGCTGGCAGTTAAGTGTGACTTGCTAAACTGGGGGCACAAAATAAAAACAGCAAGAGAAGTTTGCAGCTCTGGCAAAGTACCTATTCACAGCGTCTAACATCCCTTCTAACTAATACCAACAATCTCTGTGGAGGACTGGTGGAGATGCACACACCATACACTGAACTGGATGCACAGGAGAGAAATGCACATCCCGTATTCAGAGAGAAAGTCCCATCTCTTATCGTGGCTGTATGTGAATATTATTCTTAGTAACCTCAAGAGTACCTGGAGAACACCAATAACACTCTTGAGTGCATGGTGAAGAGATGGACAAGGAGTAAATGGCCCTTCAATAGCTGCCACACCTCGTGTTAGGATAACGTATTGATAGCTGTCAGTCAAGGAAAGGCAGTAAGCTGAGCAAAGGCAGAGAGCCCACTCCCACCTCGAGAAGACCCATGAATGCAGGATGTCTATCAGCCCTAGATGCAGCAACCCTAGATGCAGGGTTTTATAACAGTGTGAACTACAGAGGCTGCAGGTTTGTGGGTGCCGACGTCAAATTCCTGCAAGTGTAGAGCAGGACTGCTTTTTGTATTCAAAGGGCTTACAGACTTCCACTTTCAAACTTGTGCTGAAAGCCTGACTATCAGCCTTGCCCGGCAAACCCTCGCCTTACCATATCACTAAACAAAGCAGCGCTACGCAAGGATAAAGGTACATCCACATACGGTCAACCACCTCACGTAAACCATCTCCACAGAATGGCAAGATAAGCAAGCCAGTCTGCGCGCTAGCAGTCACGAGGAGTCCGTGGCTCCCAGAAACACGAAGGGATCACAGGGTCTGAGCTGGCAGGAGACCAGGCTGCTCCGGTTCCGGAGAGCTGTCTGAGCAGTCACACCAGAGAGATGCTGCCACAAGGGGCACACCGGCTCAGCGCCACGATAAGGATATATGTAGTTAAGTGAAAAACCACATTGGCCCAACAGCACTGGCCTAATAAATAAACCCTATGCCTTAAAGCAAAGAAGACAACATTATCAGTCATTTTGCAAAATCAAATGCTGGGGAGGAATTATTGCAATAACAAAACAAAACAGTTGCTATGAATTACCTCAGCGAAAGTCATACTGGTTTATCATTTTAATGGAAAAAACTTGTAACGTTAAGCACACATCAGGCTGTGTTCAGATTTTCAAACATTCATATAGTATTTACCAGCAAGAAATAATGAACTAAGAATTAAAAAAAATAAGACTAAGCATGCTGCAGTTTCTAAAGCTCAAGTTAATTAAAGATTTTAGGTGATTATTTGAAAATTTTAATATCAAACAATTGGAGCCTTTCTTCTTTTAACATCACTCGTCTTGAAGTGAGGCATGTATCATCTTTCTCTAAGTTCAATAAAAGTACATACCTGTTCTGATTTGCCCTTGACTGCACATTTAGTCCTCTTATCTTCAGTGACCTTCCAGTGTAACTAAGTGAAAAAAGCAAGCCACAAAAAGGCACATTCAAAGCACTTGAAGTTCAATAGAAGGCCTAAAAATCTTGCAAAACCACAGAAAAACAGGGCAATCCTAAGACTATTTGCAGCAAATGCAAGCCATTTTGCAAGTAGCTTTCAAAGGTTCAAAGCCATTCTTTCTTGGGGAGGTGACACTTCCAAATGCATGTGCCTTAAGCGGGCCTAAAACACTGCTATTATCTCTTGGGTTCACCATGATGTTTCCCCTCAAATTGCTAATGGAGTTGCCATTACCATACGCGTTAGAGAAATGCAAGTTTAATTGTTTTAAGTATTTCCCAATTTTAAATACTTCTCAATGTTATTCACGCTGGAATGAAAAACACTGGGGGAGGGTGTCGAAGAAAACTTACTGGACCAATTTACACTAAACAGAGAAGTACAACTTTGACAGTTACACACACTCACAAAACAAGTTTTATATGCTGGTGGAATTGCCCACCACCATGTTGTGAACATTTTGTTCAGATTAAAAATCATATGAGCATCTCCCAAAACATCCTGGGTGGGACTCTGGCTGCTGATGGGATGAGAAGCTGAAGCCTGGGAAGGGCTGGAAGACAAACGCTAGCAGACTTCTGTATGGGCTAATCTACTCTGAGAAGCCAGCGTCAGCACATCCAGAGTACTTCTCTGAGCAAGCTGGATCAGACCTGTCTGCACCACCACTTCCTGTGCGGACACACCTAGAGACACAAAAAACAGAAGCTGAAACCGAAAGGATAGGGCCCTCATTCCATTTGAGGCAAGTCTGCAGGCTGCAACTCCTGAGCAAGCTCCAACTTCGCTTCTGTTTCAGATTAGATTACCTTCTGATTCAGCTTAACAGGAGATGGCCCACTTCTGAGAATAAAAATATGTTTAAGAATCAACACTACAGATGATACCCAAAGTCCCTAGAGTCCATCTTCCTGCCTCCAAGAAGAAAATACCTAAGGAGATCTCCAATTACTTGTTTATATCCAACTTCTCATTTCTTCCTCTCATCTGATGGCAGGTTTTACTCTATAGTGTCTTCCAGAAATAACACAGGAGTAGCCCATACAGAGTATTTTCTCTTTTAGGTACCTACCACCTAAAGTGCAGTGCTACTGATATCAGAAAATGAAGTAAAATTTGGAGTATAATTTTTACATGCAGGATAATGTATTAAAATGCATACCTCATGCTGCTTTTCAGCAATATTCGCTGTGTTTAATGCAAAGATCACTTCTCTGGCTCCTACATATAGAACATCTTTATCTTCACTTAACAGCAAGGTTGAATAGTTTGACACTTCTGATTCATGAAAATGTATTAGCTGGACCTCTGTTGAAATGAAAGAAAAACAGCACCATATGAAGAAATACGATCACTTAGGGTCAAGTTTATGGGTCATTTTTCTAAGTTGTCTAACAGCTGTTGGGTATCTTGAAAACAACAAAGGTTAGTTCGGACAACCCATGTAACAGACGAGAGACCCCTCAGAAGCCTGGTTCAGCAAAAAAAAAAAAAAAAAAAAAAATCAGCTCCCACCATCAACATCAAAATCACTGCTCCCCCCTTTCTCATTCAAGTTCAAATGCCTAAGTATTTCCTGTTGTAGTGAACCCTACAACACACATCTTCATTTTTTTCTACCTGTTAATTCCATTTTTCCATTTTTTCTAACCTTCCATTTCACACATTCACTGTCAGGTCCTTCCTCACTTTTTTTGCTTCCACGTACCTACCTACTGTGGAAAATCAGATCAGTCACCATATGCCTTGCAACTGGTGCAAACCTCACAAAAAATCCTTCACCTTAAACAGCAACACTTCAACATATTACCATAGCATAAAGATGACACAGAAGCTAGTAAGGAACTACTTACAGACAGTCAATAAGCTGATTTTGAAGTAGAGACTAGAAATGAAATGCACATGACAGAAATAACATCAGGGAAGATCAAGATAAAAGGAAGGTGAAGGAAAGAGGGAGACACAGAGGAAAACAGGCAGTGGAATGAGGAAGCATGCAGACTGGAACAGAACGGCTTGGAGAAAGGTGACACAAAATGACTAATATACAAGAATATTTTTTTCTACATGTACAACCACAATGGAAAAATGACTGAAAGCTTAGGAGACCGTATTTTGTGCAAGAGACTACCACAAGATTAATTAAACGTGGCTTTTTAAGATATGGGCAGAAAACAATGTATTGTTTCTCCCAATTCTAACACTAGAAATAGCACATTTTCAACTCTAATAGTCCAGTAACATTCATTTTAAACTAGATTCTCAAGCACGTCATTTTAAAGTCTTCTACGTGGCAGGAAAATTTTCCCCAAATGGATGAACTGGTTCATAGAACTCTACATGTTCATTCCTCCACAGAACTAAATTCCCCCTCCTACTCAAAGTAGGCTTTCCGTATTTAAATGCAACAATCTTCAGCAGACAGAGACAGGGAGAACTAGCAAAAATTCCATTTATTTTGAGTAATTTGGATGTGTGTCTGCAGTGCATTACTGTAATACCATTAAACAGTAACCTGCCAAATTTTAACTATTATACAAGATAGGAGCATCAAGGAGCCTAAGCAGGAGCTACAAGCCTTGTCTAGACCATTCTTTCTGAAAAGCTGCATCAGCAACTCACTAATTGCTATACCAACAAATATGAAAAACACCTCCTAAAGTCATCTTATAAACCAGCTTGTTGTTATAACATTCTTAATCTTCATCTGCCTTTTCCTATACTATGACTGCCTAGTATTTAACATCGTTATTTAAGGCTGCTTCTTCATACTGCCCATATACTTGTTTGGTTTTGTTCAGTTACAGCACACTTGGATAAGAAATTGTTGCTAACTAACTAGTACTAAAGGAGGATCCAAACACAAAACTTTGTAAAACCTAAAGCATCTATGCCACATGGAGATGCAGGGTGGGGGGAAGTACAGTCACAAACAGCAGCAAGTAACTACCTTATAGTCCTTGCTCTAGAGTTCTCCTCAGAGCCAAGCTAAATTATTAAACCCAAAGATAAAGGATTCTCCAATCCCTATGGCTTCTCTTTGTGCCACATTTGCTGATTCCTGCTAATTATATTGGGACGTTATGAATATTTGCCGCAACTTCAAATACAGTGAAAGTGGTGCTCTGTGAAAAAAGATTGTTTCAACTCTAGGCACCATATAATGGTGTCAGAAGAGACCCAAATGCTTATCTTTCCTTCACCTGGTAATTTATTTAGTGCATTGGATGACTTAATGTCAAAATACATCTCAGTCTGAAAAAAGCATAAAAACCCCATCATCAGATGGAGAGGTGCATTTTGCTAGTATGTTCATCCTCAAAGTAAAAATAACTTGATTAAAACAAAATATATCTATTTTACAACTATTACTGGGTTTTTCTCTTGAAGCAAGCTTCAGCTACAAGATGTTTCAGCTAAGAAAGAAATTCAAAACTCCTCCTCTAAAAAGCCTTGTTTTCAAACTGCTTGAAGGATCTGAAATCAGTTAACCCACTGCCCAAGTCACTTTTGGATATTCTGGTCCTAAACACTTCATAAGCTGAGCAAAGCCAGCAACATCTGACCAAACTCACCACAAGCAGGCTGGAAGAACATACAGCCTCAGTGAGTTTCAGATCCCACAGAAACCCTGAGGCTGTGGCAATGTCCCATATTACACTACTGAAGTTCCTCTTCTTACCTCTGTGTTCCCAAGTGATCCTCGGTACTGGGCCAAATGCTACTGCCACTTCCAGTAGCAAACCCCAAACTGCATAAAAAGCACGCAGAGCCATCTTCAGCGTCCTTGCTTTTCAGGGCTTTTCAGGATAACTGCAGCAGGTAGCACTTCTTTGTCAGAAGAAATGCAAGTCCCAAGGAGTATTACAGACCAGGCATTTCAGACCTTGAGAGCAGTGCAACAAGGCAGGCTGGAACAACTACAAGTATGTGCTTTTCAGCAGATCACTTCTTCAAGGGAACGCACATTTTCCAGGATGCTGCATACAGAGACTGCCCACACTCTCCACAGGCTGCAGCGCTGCTGAGAAGTGTGACTGAGCGCATTCTTCTGTTTCGTTGCAGAAATAAATGATGCTGTGGAGAGAGGAGGGGAGCAAGAAGTAGAAGAGAAAGCAAACCGAGTACTGCCAAAAATAGCACGTTGTATGCACTGATCTTGCAATACTTCTACAGCTGTTTGCATAGCTTAATTTGGATAAAGAGTACATTATTGGTGCAAATACAATTCCTAAAACCAAGCTACACATCACATGGCAAATAGGCAACAACTGAAAGCAACCATTTCAATCTTGAAGGCCAAATATAAATATTTTGAGCTGTCACTTATGTCTAATGCACAAAAAATTTACTCTAGTGTATGTATCTTCTTACTTTTAATAGTGAATGGAAGAAAATACCACTGCTCTGATAAATGATAAACAAAGACAACAGAAATCACTATGGCTAAGTTCAGAGAGCAGAAGACATGAGAAGTGCGGCATTAATCTTAAGCATCAGTTATACAAACCCGCCGCACCTCCCACCCTTGGGATCTTATGAACATAGGTGTCATTTTTAGCAAAGTCTTTTCATGCTATTAATGCACTCAAGCTGTGCGGGGGTAGAAAGAAATACAGCTATAGAAACGAAGAGCTAATGTAATGCACAGAAAAATAAAGAGAGAAAATGCTTAAATAGTAAAACTACTGGTCATTATGTCTCTGAGCCACCTGTTACTCTCAAGCCCAGAAAGGTCTCTGTCCTCGGTGATCAACACCACCATTCACTGCTTTCTACACCATCTTCCACGAGCCTCCTCTGCTCCTGGCTTTCTACGACCACTCCTAGGTCAAGACTCATTCATGCAAGTAGTTGCCAGAAGAAGCAAGTGCATTCATCAATGACTAGATTACTGCATATGGATGAATTCTGGGGGCTCTACACTTGGGGGTGGAGGGAGGTATGTGTGTGAGAAAAGCACATTGTCCTTTGCAGCAGGGAACACCATGCCACAGCCTGAGACACTACTTTGACACTAATCAGAGACACACCACAATGCAAGAGAGCTGCAATACCTAGAGGTTGTCCAGCGTGAGAGCAAGGGAGGGTTGCAAAATCCTTCTTAGCATTCAAGAGGAAAGGGGCAGCACTTAGGGAGGACAGAAGTTAAAAAAACTAAGGCGAAGCTGCAGCAGGAACAAGCTAAAAGACAAGCATGACACTGACAGCCTCTTCGGGAGCGAGAGGCCCCAGGTTTAAGCAGGCAAAGGCAAGGAACCTCCGGGAAGTGCAGCCAGCGGAACTGCTACAAACACAGAAGCAACACGGCTGAGTAGAAGATGGACAAATACACTAGAAGCTTTTACACCTGCTTTACTAACTGGCAAGGTTAAAAAAAATTAAAATCTTTTGTCTACTAAGGAAAAACCCACACAAAACTACAACTGGCTCTAGCTGAACCTGTGATTTAAATGAAGAAAAAAAAAAAGTTTTGGTAAGCACTTTGGATCAGATCCAACTGTTTGTAACAGATCATATAAATCATTTTGGTTTTTAAGGCATCATATTTTCAGTTAAGCTGACTAGGCTTGTTTGTCTTGCACCTTTCCTGTTTATCATCACACATAAGCAATTCCACGTTTTACTCTTGAACACATTAAAAAGTGCCCAGAGTTGCAAGGTATCACACAAATGTATTCTAAAG